TGGGGGGGAAGTGTTGAATGGGCCTCGCTAGGATCACATGCCTGGACCATCAGATAAGCAGGATCCTTTTAATTATCAGACTCACCCAGGACCATGAAAAGTAAACACTTTCTCTCACTGAGTATCCCTATGAAGCCTAGAAGAGATCATTATTGCTTTATTTTACAGATCCAGAAACTTGGATTCTGGGGACTTCCTCAGCAACTGATATCTCAACCCAGCTCAGTGTGAAAAACCTCTGGTCCTCCCCACTCCACCAGCCAAGGTCATGGCGTTGCAGGAATAGAAAACAGAAAATCACCCCCCCATCCCCTTCCCACAGGGAAGCTGCTGAAACATAGCTATCATTTGGAGTACTAATTCTGTTCCCTTTGTGAGTTTTTGCAGTGAAGGACATCTGGAGGCTGGTCTGAGGTCACTGGGCACCTCATGGAAAGCAGTGGTGGCAAAAAAGGACCAAAATATATATATATATAAGCAGGTAAGGAGGATGAAGAAAAGGAAGTGAAAGGTATATTAAGGAAATGTACATTGACTAATGACTGTGTCAAAAACCACAATGGAAATTGCCACTAATTGGGGGAATCTCTACATTCACAAAGATTTTTGCCATTACCACCAACTGGGAAATAAAAAGCTATCAGGATAACGGTGTTACTTGTGCATAGCCCTCCCTGACAAATGGTCTACCTCCTGCTCAGATGTAATAAAGGGCATCGTCATGAAGTTGACTCTACCACACTGGCAGTTCTCCTCCACATTGCTTTCCTCCTGGCTTAACTCCTCTCCTTCTCTTGGCAGCTGGCCTTGAGACAAGTAAGCTCATTCTCGCTTAAGTCGCAAGCACCTCTTCTGAGTCCATTTAAAAGCATCTTCTCTGCAGCTACCTGGCACATGAGCTGGCGGCTCCCTCTTGCTACACTGAGTCCTCTGCCTAGATTCTTGGGTCAAATCAAGTTTCAATTTACACTTCTCTATTTCCACGGTCAGACTGAATTCAGATCCACCCCTCCCCCCACCCCGCCGCCCATTACTTCAGCTTTTTTGCTTTCTCCAAACATCCATTTAGAGCTCTCAGCGCTGCTTTCCATTGTTTGAACCTGGAATCTGGTCGCATTTCATTGTTACCTGCACCCAAAATCCTGGGACCCTTGCCTGTGCTTCCTTCCAGCTAATTGGCTCATTATGAAATAGCTCAAATAGGTAATTGTGAATGTTTGTATAAAACGAGGGGTAGCAGTAAGAAGGCAGGACCGATGACCAGGGAGAAAGGCTGTTCAGAAATGTGGAAGAAGAGATTAAAAATGCACTTAAAAGACAGTAGCACAATATATTTTATAAAATGATGTATGTGAGACATATGTTAGAGATGTTTAGGTTAGATTCTCTTTCTATAGTTTTCACTTTTCTATTGATGGGCTGATAGGCTATTAGGAAATACGAGAGCAAGAATTTTCATGTGTATCCAAAGTTTTCCAAATACTTCCGAATCTTGCAGATTAATGATCCACAAGCCAATAACAGCTTAAAAATAACAACTTGCGTTTATTTAAGTGAATTTTGCATCTTTTTCCTGACTGTACAGATGATTGATAGAATAATTCAGCTTAATCGTGTATTTAATCTCTCCAAATTAGGACATGCAACTTAGGGACGAAGCTATCTTTTTACTGACTTCCTATGCATCAGAGATCATACCGAATGATCGGTTAAAAAAAATGAAAATAAAAATAGACAAGCAGTTTTTAAAAAAACAACTATAGAGTACCATGCACACTTCAAAAATTAAGAGAAGTAGTTCTACTTGATCTAACAAGTAAGTTTCATTTTCCTTGAACTTCTCTTATAATGCAATTGCTCTCTCTTACAGTATATCGACTGTGACAAGCGGATTCAAATATATGAAGGCCTTTCTAGACAGTACCCTTGAAAATTAGATTAATAAGGGAAAATTCCAAAACAATTAAAAATTCCAATAGAATTAAATATACAGCTTCAAACAGCATCTGAAAGAAATGGAATAAACAAAATTGTGGGTCTGTGTCATGAGAGTATCAAGTTTGGGTTTTATGCCTTTTAGGAAATCACTGTGTTCTGGTTAAGCATTCCAGATTACTGTGGAATGAAACCATTTCTAAATTTGCCTTAGAACAATAAATGGTTTGTTGAATTCAAAATCCACATGATCACAACAAAAACAGATAATCCGTCATAATTATCTGCCACGGTCATTATTTCACTGCACTATGAGTATATCCAAAAATTCAAAGGAAAGTATTTTATATTCTCTGATATAACTTTAGGCCTTGTCTTCATGTGTTGGGCCTTTTGTCATTTGAATTGCTTCTTCCTTATCTCCTATCAAGTCGTCTCTGAAGCTTGTCTAGAGACACTGCTTTAGTTTTCAGAAAGCTTAGATAATCATGCTGTGGAAAGTCCAGGCTGGCTTTGGGGGCTTTAGCCAAGGTGTGGGAAGCAAGAAACCACAAGGCATTTCTAAGGCGACCCCATTAACACATAGAGCCATCTGGGACACCCCGAGTGCTCATATTGATGCAGTTCAGAATTTTGTCTCCTGAGTGACTCTGTCACTCTTCAGCTTTTTGCAAGCCTCCCAGGAGGAAGTTGTCACCTTTATAGTCCAGTCTTCAATGTCACCGTCACTGAAAAGGCAATCTCACTACAATTATATCCCTCTGCCCTTGCCCTTGGAAATGGAAATACTTTACTTGGTTTTACTAATAGGACATAACACTTGTTACTCCCCACTTTTTACAGTGTTCAAATCATCTTTGTGGTGACCATGATCAAACTGAATTCCAATAAACCATCTTAAGACAGACGGGTATTGCTATGAACATTTTTATGGAAGAGTAAACTAAGGTTCAGAGTGATTTCAGTAATCGACCCAAGGTTATACAGAGGGTAGGTGAGATGGTCAGATAGAATGACCCCCTAACACTCTAATGATGTGTTTCACTTCTTTGGATTCTCTTTTTTTCAAAAATAAAAACCACATCTCCAGATAATACTTAGGATGGATTGAGCAATCCCCTGCTCTACCGAAGAGACAACCTGGGAAAGAAGATAGGGCTATCTCAGGAAGACCACGGCAGGCAGCAGTGGCTGGAAGTCCCCGGTGCCTTCCACAGAAGAAAGCTAATCACTGTATGAATGATCTTAATTAAATGTGAATGCATAGCTACTGAATGCTCTGGGAAAACTCCCTCCTTACTGTCTGCTTTTCCCATAGTGCTCAGTAGCAATACCTTCAAATTCAATTAAGATAATTCCTAGAGTGATTAGCTTCATTATACGGTGAGACACTGGGGACTGTCCTGTTGCCAGGCTGTGTGTGTGGTCCATGTGAGATAGACAGGTTCTTCTCCTGCCTGGTGTCTCAGCGGTCACTAGAAGAAGTCAATTTCACAATGACATCATCTGCGGAACTTCTAAATTCCACCAAGAGAAAGGCCACTGGGAAATTATATTTTTTGGACTGTTCTAAAGGTTAAAATCATCCCAAACCAACCAAGCTTTTCAAACACTTTTCCTCTTTAACAGGCTCGGAGTAAACAATGGATGCAAGCCAGCAGACAAGACACAACTGGGGACCTCAGTGGGTGCATGGGGACCAAGAGGTTAGTTTTAGGACTCTGCATATTCCAGTTATGAAATGCTGGTGGAGTGATATGGGAACAGGTTGAAGGGCTCGTTTGCCTGTGTTTCCCAATGGGTGACGTATACCACCGAGATACTGAGACAGCAACCGACCAAACAACAACTCCGCACCAGTCCTGTGAGCCAGACCTCTGATAAATTCTGTTCACGTTAAATTACCACCAAATACATTGTCAATATAAAGAGAACCACTATCACTTAAGACAGAATATTCTTTTACCTGATTTTGGCCTATCGGGCTGACTGACCATTCATTTGATTATTCATATTCATTAAATGACTATTCATAAATAATCATGATCGTATATGTAATTTTTAAAAGGCTGCTCTGTTTCTAGATTAAAGATGTTTATATGAACAAAAAGATTCTTCACCCCTAGAGCAGGGGTACTCAACCAGGGCAATCACCCTTCCTGTCCCAGGGGCCATTTGACAAAGACATTGGAGACATTTTCGATTGTCACAACTGGGGAGGGAGTGTTTCCATATAAGGCACTGAAGCCAAGGATGTTGTTAAACATCTCACAATGCCCAGGACAGCCTGGCCCAGGACAGCTTGGATCCAAAATGGCAATAGGGCTGAGGTTAAGAAACCCTGCCCTGAAGCAAGCAAGCAAACCCTAAACCACTCTGTAAAATGAACGTTCCTGTAAGAAGAGCTGCCCGATGATGTTGTCACAGCCATTTATTATATAACATGGTCCTTCCACGTTACATGTGAGTGACTGATGCACTCCTGCAAGAGGTTCTAATATTCAGCCATGGTAGCTCCTACAGATAGACATCTAGAATTCTATAACAAGTACACGTTTCCAGAGCCCTCATTTTGTTTGCAAACAATAAGGCAGAAACATTTTTCACCATAAACAAACCAAATCTTTTTAACCTTTAAAACTTACTATTTTTCACTTTCTTACTTGGCTCATTTAATCAAATATTTATTTATACTTTCATAATTTGGACCATTTTTTCTAAGAATTTTAAAACAAATGAGTGATACGTGATCAAAATAGAGCAGTAATTTTTAAAAAGACCTCACAATTACATACAAGTCATCAACTGAGGTCATAATTGAGGTGATTGTAGTAATAGTTAAACTATTTAAATTCTCTCTCAATACGTTTTAAAATAATGATGTAAGTAATTCGAAAATAATGATGTAAATAAAAGAGGATATTTATGATCCAAATAGAATATTCTGTTCCATCTAGGACCTTGCCCAGAGCCTATGTTAGAACACTACCCACAGCTAATCTCTCTCTGTTTTTTAAAGTATTGAAGAAAAGACGAAACACAAACATTGACATCTGGATACCTACAGAGCTAAATCTGTGGATTTCTTCTTGATTTATTCTCCTCACAGTTCTTCTCTTCTTCCAAAATTCACTGGCCTCCCGTTTAAAAACCTTTCCTCTGAAGCTCATTGTATCCTGTTATTTGAGTCGCAAAATATTTAAAAATAACCAATTTCGTTAAACACCTTCCTTCTGAAGCTTCACCAGGCCGAACAAATCCTCCTTCTCTGGTGAAAAGGGAAATGCTCATGCTACATTACCATAACTCAACAGAAAGGAAAAGAAAACCAACAAGTTACCGCTTCCTGTCACTACCAGCTGTCCTGATAGGCTTCTGTGCGCGTATTCTCCCTAGTCACCTGCTTTAGAGTAAGACAAAAACACAAAATGGCTTTGGACATTTAAGAGAATTGCTCATAGCTAAATAAATCATGGGATGTAAAATCACCCATGGAACCATGTCAAGACTGAATTAAAGGGCTGATTTACTGTAGGGCTCTAGGTCTGCCACCGAAACCTCCACCAGACTTCATCATCCCGAGTAGACCCCAAAGGGAAACTGTCATAATATGCCTGGGGTCTGAGAAGTTTATTTCAAACAGTTGCTCATACAAGTGTAGATTAAGTTGGTGGTCTTCCAAGATCATCACTTAGGGCACAAGGAGAAATTAGAATTCTATTCATATTGGTTACCTAAATAAGTTGTACTCTACAACTATTTAATATAATAGATATTGACATGGACACCTTGATTCTCTATGGCAAATAGTTACAAACAGTCAAATAATTTCCTAATCTGTACTCACTTTCTCTGGAGCTATTTAGAACTGCAACTCTCCCTTCAAACCTACCTGAATTCTCCTTCCTGTTTGATTCTTCTCCATGACACTTACTAGCATGTGACACTACTCTACATTATACTTATTTATGTTACCTATGGTTTGTCTTCCTGCACTCGACTCTATGCTTCACAAGAGTGGGAATTTTGTCTGTTTCATGTACCATGTCTTCGGTGATGACAACAGTGTTCGTCATCCAGAAGTTTCTCAGTATATAGCTGTTAAGTTTAATGAAAGAATAAATGAGGGACTGGGATGCCTGGGTGGCTCAGTCAGTTAAGTATCTGCCTTCGGCTCAGGTCATGATCTCAGGGTCCTGGGATTGAGCCCTGTGTTGAGCTCCCCGCTCACTGGGGAGTCTGCTTCTCCCTCTCCCTTTGCCGCTCCCTCCACCACCTGCTCCAGCTCTCTTGCTCTCTCTCTCTTTCTCTTTCAAATAAATAAATAAAATCTTTATTAAAAAAAGAATAAATGAGGGCGCCTGGGTGGCTCAGTTGGTTAAGCGACTGCCTTCGGCTCAGGTCATGACCCTGGAGTCCCTGGATTGAGTCCCGCATCGGGCTCCCTGCTCGGCAGGGAGTCTGCTTCTCCCTCTCCCACTCCCCGTTTGTGTTCCCTCTCTCGCTGTGTCTTTCTCTGTCAAATAAATAAATAAAATCTTTAAAAAAAAAAAAAAAGAATAAATGAGGGGCTTACATTTATTATGCTTAATAATGAAGCTTGTCCCCTATGTATATTGTGTTTTGAAATATTATTCTTTTTTTTTTTTTTAAAGATTTTATTCATTTATTTAATTGACAGAGAGAGAGAGACAGTGAGAGAGGGAACACAAGCAGGGTGAGGGGCAGAGGGAGAAGCAGGCTTCCTGCAGAGCAGGGAGCCCGATGCGGGGCTCGATCCCAGGACTCTGAGATCATGACGTGAGCTGAAGGCAGACGCTTAACCGACTGAGCCACCCAGGCGCCCCTTGAAATATTATTCTTTCGTTATTTATTTATTTATTTTTTGCCACAGAGAAAATGGAATAAGACATGTTTCCTGAGAAAAGGAAAGCCACTTCTCAGGAAAGCCTCTTTCTGAGGAGCCTCTTTTGCAAACACAGTCCTCGATTCTCTACTGAAGGTGGTGATCTTCAGGAAAACGCTCACTTAACCAGCTCATCCAAACCACAATGGCCTAAGTAGATGCCATCTGCTTATTTAATAAGCCTCCCCATTCATCACAGTTGCTTTTTACTGATGCAGGCCATTCCCTTTGACCCAGGAATAACCAGACATAGTTGAAGTGTATCCATACACCCGAGACTTAAGGCACTCATCTAATTCTACCTTGTCAGGCAGTGATTTGTGTAAGATGGAGAAAGAGAGATAGTGATTGTTCCTTGTCAAAGTGTGGACACTGAGGAAGCTTCTTTCAAGAACTATGAGAAAAATAACAAGATACTATAAAAATAAGAGGTAGGGAGGTAAACTGTATCATCATTTTAAAATTACCTTAGGCAAACAAAGATCCCATATAGCAGAAGCCCTTTTGTTCCACGGTCATGAAATATTTAGCAATTTCACTGTATGTCTTTAGCTCTGAACAGATTTTACCCTCTAAGTAACTCTTTGGCATCTGTTAGATGAGCAGGCACATCATAGTACATGCAGACTTTTTGGATTTAACTTGTTTCTTTCAGGACATTATCAGATTCTGCCTCTGGGTCACCTGATTTCCTGGGGTAAGATTATGTTTCTATTTTAAGAGCTGAAAATAGTGTTTTGTGACCATTTTTAGATTACGCACCCATTTGAGAATCCAATAAAATCTGCAGACTCACTCGCAGAAAGATGTAAGTATTCAGAACATGTGCATGCATGGTTGGAGGTCACAAATCTCAGAAGTCCATCCATGGATCCTCTTATCTGTGGTAGCCTAAATCCCTAACTTGTGATTTTAGGTGATAGGAACGTTGTAATGAAGCATTTATAGTAATACTGAGCAACTCTTGTGTGACTTCCTTTCTTTCTAATATTTGCATCTAGTCTCTCCTCTATTCCTCTTTAGGCGCCACAGTTCTTTATCCTGGAGTCCCTCCCACTCCTTGACTTCTGCAATGTGAGAATGACTCATTTGTCCCCTTGCTTAGCTGTTGATTGCAGCTCCCTTAAGTACTGACAGAAGAAGGCATTGCCAAGGCACATATGGGGATGTCAGATAGGCATAACTTGGGGTGACTGCAAAGGAAGAGGAAATCCTGTAACATGGAGTGTGGTATTCCATGGGATGGCTCCACTGGGGACCTCCATTGGGCTGTGCCTTCCTCGACTTCAGACCAAGTCTGTGTCTCCAGCATTCTGTGATACTCCACACCACCCCAGTAAATTCCTTTTCTGCTTAAGTTCAGAAACGTGTTAGAAATTAAAAAAAAAAAACAAAAAAAAGCCTACAAAGGACAATGGGCAAGAATAGAGATAAACAGAAATTAGAGATTAGTTGGCTCAACCACCAGGAGTCACTGTCAAACTCATTAGTAGAGATCTGGTACCAATACATGTAGAATTTATTAAGTACTATACTCAAGGCATTGCTGGCTTCGAGAGAAATGAAGCTAGCCTTAAGAAGCTTGTACCTGACAAAGGAGTTCACTAGAGTTGAAGGAATCTAGGAAAGCTTTATAGTAAAGACAGAACCTAAGGCAGGCTTTGATTAATAGGTGGGAGTCAAACAGGTGGGAGAATGGTAAAGGATACTCCAGGAAAGAGGAATGTAGCATGAAGAAGGCATAAGATAGAATGGTTAAAATCATGGGATCTGGAATCAGCTTGAATTCAAATCCTGGGTCCACTTTTTCCTCACTGTGTATTTTCAGCTCAGTTTTCTCATCCCTCATAAACTAAGGATAGCACAGTAGCCACCTCAGAGTTTTGTAGGGATAAATGAGATGACACTTAAAAATTTCAGCATATTGTCTAATACATAGAAAGCATAATGACCACTTATTACAAAAGCTAAGAAGCAGGTCAAAACAGATTTTGTAAGAAAAAGTAGGAAGTCCATCTTGTCTATAGCCAGGGTTGAGAAGGAGAGGAGTGGTGGAAACAACTAACAATAGAAGCCAGGGGCTACTTCATGGAAGGCTTTGAATGCCAAGATAAGGAGGTTTCCACTGCATCCTGAAAGCCATGAGAAACCTGAAGGATTTCTGAGTTACAATTAAAATAGTGCCTTTGGAAGATTCATTTGGTAGCAGTATTGACCCAGGTAATAACAGAATGGTGGAAGGTAGAAAACATGGCAACAGAAACATAATCATAGATTTCACTGAGATTATAAATGAAGATCTGGCAATTAAATGGAAAATGAATGGTAGCTGAAACTTATTGAGCAAGTACTGGGTGCTGGATGCTGATCTAAGTTTATAGTACCTTCTTTAAACCAGTGACACTGTGAGCTAGGTATTATTATTATTGTTATCACCATCCCAGCTTTACAGAGGAAGATATTTGGGTCCTGAGAAGTTAAGCAATTGGTCCAAAGTCTGAAAGAAAATAAATAGCACAGATGGGATTTCAACCAAGGCAGTCCAGCTCCAGAGCCCAAACTTTTAACCACAAGGGAGGGTCAAAGATGCCAGCAGGTTTCTGAGTTTGCCATCAAGGAGATGGAAGATATGACTGAGGACATAGAGTAATAAAGAGAGAGGACTTCTTTTCCTACTAATGCTGATATAGACATGTTGAAGTTTGGGTCAAGAAGATAGGAAAACAAACATGTCCAACAACGTTGTTGTATGTGTGCTGGGAACTCATGAAAGATTCAGTGCTGGAGATGTGAAGCTGAAAGTCACCAGAAGAGTTAAAATCGAAAAGTCTAAAAGTAAATTGAATTTTTGGAGAACAGGTAGCACAGAATTGAGAACACAGTCTTGAAGTTCTTTTACATATGATAAATGGAAAGCCATTTAGGAAGTTGGGAAGGCACTGAGATAAAGGGGGGAAAAATCCAGGGCAGTGAGGTACCCAGATGCACTGGGTGGGGAGTTCAAGGATGGTGCTCATAGCATCTGAGCAGAGATGGATGTAGGACCTAGAATGTACAAAAAGATTCAGCGTGAAAGATAAGCAAGATGAAAAATAAGGACTTTGCAGTCTTGCATCCAGACAGATCTATATTTGAATCCTCTTCAGCCATCTATTAGATGATCTCTGGCAAGTTACTTGACCTCTGTCTGCCTGTTTTTTTAATATATTCAATGGAGTGGTGAGTATATAGCTTATAAGGTTGTTGTGAAATAATAAATATTAGTACCTGGCATTGAGGAAAAAGTATATATATTTTACATATACATACATAATTCCTGTATGTATATATATAAACATTTATTGAATATGGTGAGCATTTATTAGCTCTACATAGGTTGTATTTATGTATAGACACACCTATTATGCATATACAGATACATAGAAAACATATGAATACTTGTATATATATAGTATTTTTTTTAATATGTATGTAGTATTTAAAGTCTGGCTCCATGGTGCCCAGTCAGAGAAAGTAAGTTTGCAATTTTCAATAGATAAGAGTCTGGATACTTGGAAGTTAGTTAAGATGGGAATTATTAACCATATTGTAGAAGAAATAGGAAGATGTTAGAAATTTTAGAAAAAGTTCTGTTTGTATTAGTTTTCTCTTGCTGCTCGAACAGCTTACCACACATTTGGTGGCTTAAATCAA